CCATTGCCCCCCCACCCTCTTATCCCAAGCAAAATACTGTCACACGTCGTTGCAGGACATGATATAGTCCTCTAGGCTCCACGCATTCCCCTAGCTGCTCGCCCAGATGGATTCAGTGCCTCCCGCAGCCACACACAGAGCACCGGGAGGTGCACATTTACTGTACCGCGCGCCGACTCCCTTGAAGAAACTGTAGCTAACCACCTTATTAGTATTCTTGCCTCCGCGGTGTCTCAATGGCAGCATCAGAGGGCTGAGCAAAATGCAGTAGAACAGGGACAGACACGGCTCTGGCAATCATCTCAATGCAGGCTGCCGAAGGTTGGGGGTGGGGGATGCAGCACATCAAGATTAATAACCTTGCCATAATCCGGGGCACCCTGCAAGCAGACGCCTCTGCTGACTGACCTGCTCTTGACTTGATGCATCTGCCTGGGGAAGAGGGATCCGGAATCCATCTAGTCCCAGGGGCCCCTTCTTGATTTTGGATGTTCCTTTGATCGTCCACAGACAGACCCGGGAAGGTAACAGCCAGCCAGACCTTCTGCAGCAGGCAGCAGCTCTCTCTTGGAGGTTGAGGCTCCTGACAGTTCTCATGACACGGAGGGGTCCTGGGAGTGCGCGTGTGTTTGTGAGTGCGGGTGCCTGCTTTTGCATGAAAGGGAATGCGTGAGTGTGTGTGTGTGTGTGTGGTGTGTTTGTGTGACAGCCGGAGCAGGTATATCGTACAGTAGGAGATTTCAACAGCGTGAAAATAATCTCGGGGCACGTGGGCTCGCGTCTGGAGCCCCCAGCTCTCCCTGGCCCTCCCTTCTCCACTTTCCCTTCTCCTTTTGCCTTTGATGAGTTTTTGGCTTACTTTTTTGGCGGAGTCTCTTGGACACGTTTTTTGCTGGTGCTGGAAAATCAGATAAATGGAACCTTTGAAAACTGATTATTTTTCTCCTATGTGACTTTAAAAAGAAAAAAAAAGGAGAAGAGGAAAAGAAAAGAGAGTAGTTTATGAAAAGCTAGAGGATTTTAAATTTTCCTTGGCGAACTTTGAGGATCCATCAAGAAGGTAAGTCACGAGACTCCTTAGATCTCAGTCCTTGTTTTCTGGCAATGTGTGTGCTTTCCTGTTTGTTTTCAGAAGCCCCTATGCAGTTTATAAGCACATTTCTAGAGACTGTAATGCTCAGAAGAACTCAGTGTGTGGCATTTTGGGGTTATTCTTATGCCAAGGAGATTATTTCCATTTCTATAACTGTCCTCCTCCATCCTTCATACCATGTCCTACCTCTCTGACAATCTGTCATTTTCTCAGTAAATTCTGGATGTATGAAATTGGGGTAGGGGAGAGTCCAGCATTCCCCTTCCTTGAAATACATGCTGAAATTTGAGAAAAACCAATCTGAAGAGCTACTGGTGGAGGCTCTGAGTTAGAGGGGATAGCCAGTCTGCTGTCAGAGGGCGTGGGGGTTGGGGGTATCACCTAGACTTTTCTGATGAGTTAATAGTAGAATCCCCTCTCCGTGGCTCCCCGCCCCCCTTGAATAGTTATATCTGCTCTGGAGAGTAGCAAATGTGTGGAGTACAGAAAAGCTGCGTCCACAGCTTTTAACTGGAGCAAATGACAACAAAGTGGAAATTGTTCAGTATTTTGAACCTCACTTTTTTTGCACTGATTCTCTTGAGATTGGATCTCATTAACCTTTCTGAATGCAATGTCCCCTGATGAGGACTAGTGCCTGTCATTCTGGAACATCCTCTTACCACCGCCATCCCTGGATGAGGGAGTGGAGTTGAAAATTGTTCTTAATTGTCTCTTCTTGGCTGTAAAAGCAGGTGGTATCAGGAATTCAAATGTCTGAGTCAAACCTCTCACCTAATTCAGCCTTTTGGTCTTTGTAGTGTTTCCTGCTTGTTACATGAGCCTTCATTTTTCCTTCTCTTTTCCTTCAAAATGAAATGCAGAAAATATTCTACCTGTTCTGATCTGTAGATTCTTTTAATTAAATCAAAATACCATCTCATTGTAATGGGTCTGTGTTTCCGTTTCTGTATTTTTATCTCTGCACTGAAATCATTTAGTTTCTCCCAGGAAGTGAGAATAACTTGTACATAAATTTCTAAAACGCTAGAAAGAGCTCCAAGTGGAAGCAGCAGGAGCTTGGTATTCCTCAGTCAGTGTGTATGGATAGTTTATCCTAAAAGGAATGGTGGTATTTCATGGGATGTTAGCTAGCTCGCATTGTTACTGTGAATGCATTCATGATAAAGATGACAGGTATATGTATTAACCAGGTGGAGGATGGCATGCCTAGGTGATTGTCTGCAAGTATTGATGTCTATATGTAGAAAGAGGGTAGGCTCAAATTGTAACAGGAGATTTACTTAGAGATTATTGACTGGGTCAAAGATTTATCAGCACACACAACTTGAGAGATTTCAGACATCACACTCAAAACACTGGTATTTCTCTTTTTTCCAAAAAGGAAATTACCAAAAAAAATGAAATAATATCCTGGTATGACCATTTATCTAATGATTTTTGCCTAAAGATATGAAAAAGCAGCTTAAAAAGGGCAACTGTTGTAAGATATACCCACTCTCAACCTAGCCCTGTGACTGGTGACTCCATCCAGTGCCCTTGATAAAAATACTATGGGAAAACTCCCTCTGAGGTAGAATTTATGATGTGACTTTCTTATGAGGTATTTTCTGATCAGGATATTTTCATCTGTTACCCATAGACTCCAGCTACAATGTCCATTCTCAAGCAAGGAAGTTTTTTTTGTTTTTTTTAATGGCTTGAACATAGGAGAAACCTCAAATAAATTTCATATTTTTTTGTGAAAAATACAACCTGGTAATCATGAAACCTGAAGGCAAGGGTGAACACATAAACAAGAAACACAACCTTTGCTGTCCTAAGGTTAAATGGTTCCTGGTCACCTCAAGGGACTCCCCGGTACTGGAGGTCCCCAAATTCAGAAGGACCAATCATCATTCCTTAAGTTGGTCAGCTCTTCATTAATCTGCAACTTTTTATTACTAGTCCCAGGTAGATAGGACAGTATTTTTACGTCATTAATTTTGTGTTAAGATTGCTCTGAATAAAGAGAAGCTCTTTGAAAATCCCTTTCTTGAAGTTGACACATTAGTACCTCTTTCCATTGAGGGTATTTAATTTTGAGTATTCCTGCCCCATTCACATTCTTAACCAGTAAGAGTATATTTAGACTTGTGGTGCTGGGGAAAAATTAAATGCATAATTATGCTCAACACCATCTCAAGGAAAAAAATGACATCTTGGCTTTTGTGAGTTTGAGAGTTAATAATTGTAACGAGTGAATCTTCTAGTGATAGCAACACTTTCGTTTTCACTTATTTGGAGCTAATTGAAGAGAAGTACATGCCAACTCGGGATTTTCTGTTTCCAGCTCATACAGTGTGCAAAGCAACTCCTCTGGCTCTCAAGAGTTCCCTAGGGTCCTTGTGCACCTATAACTTTGCATCTTTCTTTCTTTTAAGCTCAGGTAACAGCAATAGTAAACAGCTTGTGATCACACCTGGCTTCAGACCCATGGCTTACGTGCTTGTGTCTTTTTTAAGCTTTGTTTTTGTGATAGAGAGTATTTTGAGGTTTGAGGATTGGTTTTCGAAAAAGAAATGTGGAAGAGGGAGTAGGAAGCTTCCATTTCAGCAGGGGTAATATGTCAATGTTGCCAGCGAAGAGGCTGAAGTTATCAATAAGAAACATGTGCGTGGTTATATTGATAAAAGAATGTATTGGTAGTAGCTTGGAGTTTACTGGGGAGAAGAGAAGAAATTGCAATTCCTTCTCTACTTAGTTCCAGTCAGTTGGTGGGCCTTTCTCTGGGTTTCTGCTCCAGTCAACAAACCAGCCCCAACCTTCTTCAGTTTGTTTCTATGTTGTTGTTGCTGTTTTGAAGACCAGGGCACTTAACGCATGAATAGCTCTTTTCCTCTGCAACAAACAGGGCTGACAGCTGGAAAGTCAGCTCCTGAGAACCTTTAAAGGAAGCCAGGAAGACCTCTTAGCAAGTTCAAGTGCAGGAAGGGGCTCTGGGAGTTGCAGCCCTGGAGGTGGGTGTAGACCAGGTGGACTGACTTGAAGTTCTGATTGCTGAGTCATTACAATAGCCTAGAGCTGCATGTTGGCCCTGCAAGGAGTGGAGTTGATGCTGGGACACGAGCTAGGATGGATAGGCTGAGAGTATCGACATTCTGCAGGAAATGCAGACTCCTGGGATAAAGGAGACAAGCTCTCTAAGGATGTGTCAAAGATGCTTTGTGTGGCTCTGCCACTGTTCTCTATCACTAAAAAGGGACTTCTCGGGGTCCCAATAGGCGACCAAAGAAAAGATGATTAATTGATATGTGAGTAGTGCAGGGGCTTTGCAATCAACTAAATCAATTTTCCCAATTACCTGTGTTGCCGTCTGGGACCACTGGGCAGTCACATCTAAAGTGGGGGAATGTTGGAGGCTGGGATGACAATCAGGAGAAGGCAGACTCTGATTGAACATCAGAAAATATCAGGCAAGCATTGGTAGCATTGCTTAGTAGTTAGCTAGGTACTCAAAGCTCAGCACCACAAATTCCTCCCATACCATTTGGAAGAATGCACTCTTAACTCCTAGTGCTGTCCTGAGAGTTATGATCAAATATTGTGGAATAAAATGATCTGTAGCAATAATACTTTGGCAGAAACGTAAGGGGCTTATACGATGACTTCATATGTGATTTAAGACAATGTCAACTGATAGCCTTGATATGATTTTAAATTAAATTGATGATGCAGAACTGATCTTTCCTTCATGGTGGGTATTCAGTGTTTGTGTTGTTATAGTTTGGCTCTTTTCCCAAATGTGTGGACTATAACTCTTCTTGTTCACTTCAGTGGTACATTTTTAGCTCTGTGTGTGCGTGTGTGTGAGTGTGTGCGTGTGTGAACATGGGCATCCGGACTTGTGTGTATGATTAAGTAATTGGTCAGTCTATAGGAGGTGAAATATTAAATTTTTGAAAGACAGAAAATATGTAATGACCTGAATCCTCTAGCACTGGATATCCAGAGAGGGCAAAACATAAAAAAAGAAAGAAACTTGGCCTGTCTGTAATTTCCGTGCGAGTACATAGGTACTATTCTGTTTGTAAGCTTCACAAAACCCCAATCCAAGCTGTAGATTAGAGTTGAAGTTCAACTTGGAAGTTATGTCAATGGAGTATTTATAATAATAGTACAGTTTGCAACGATGATCACCCAGTTGCATTTTGGACATAGATCAGGACTAAAAAGCAGAGCTTAAGGTCCTGGTGCAAAGAGAAGGTAATGAGTAAAGGCTTTGGAGTTTGACAGAGATGTGATCTGATAATTT